GTTTCAGAAGATCAAACTTCCTATTTGGGTTTGCAGTACATGCCTGCAGTTTGGATTCTGATTCCTTTTAATCGGTTTCCCAAAGCAATTCGTAGTATGTCGGAGATGCATTTAATTATCTGTTGATGTCAGGGGAAGGATTTTGTTGTTTCTCCTCCTAAGGGAGATTTCTGACCAGATAACTGCAACTATAGTCACACTCCCCATGAATATGAACAATCCAATAAAGCTCTGAACATCAAGACTTTGTGGAAGGGCTTGATTTTGTTGTGATTTATCAAGAGTAGAGAACCCAAGATATTTTGTCTTCATTTCCATCATAAGTTCACTTTCTGTGACATTTATGACTGCCCTAGAAAAGTTCTGTAATAAAGGAGATCCACGAGGGAATGCCTGAGATATTAAACACATGGAGTTAGGTAATTGATTGTAATATAATACTACAACATGAACTTAGAAGCACATAATGGACCCCATGTCACAGAACGCTGGCGCGGTTCAATTGTTTTGTGTTCCCCTAAGTTAACAAAATGAGATTGTTCGAAAGTGTCGATGCATGTGGTATAATGCACTCGTATTAGAGGTTGCAAGTTTAAATTTTTTTGGCTCTTCTTTTATTTTTTAGGTAACAACAGAAAGATAAGAAAAGACAAAAGACCACTTCTATGTCATTTTTAATAAAACCATAATTTTCATAAACAATTTTTGCTTTATTTTTACATTATGCTAATTATTTTGTGTCCCCTCTTGGAATTTTCTGGATCCACCTCTGATAGCTTGAGGGTTTTGCCTAGGGTTTTCTGTTCAATTGTTTAGTTCTTTTTGTCTATCTGTTTATTCATGATTTCAGGTCAAGAATATTAGGGTTCAATTGTTAAGGGTTGATTTTTCAGTAAGTAGTTTGGATTCCACATTGGCTAAATCAAGGAACCGTAAAGGATTGAACTAATACAAGAGAGTTAAGGAGAAGAGAGACTCACAAATGCAATTCCAGATTCTTGGTTTATTGGTCCAAACTTCATGTAATCAGAGCCATACTTAGCAAGAAAGAGTTGGATGTAAGGAAGTTCATCATAGATGGCATTTACACTGCCATTGGACAAAGCATTTTTAAATTCTTCAACGCCTTTTAGGGGCACTATATTCCTCCCAGAATAATTGGATTTTTGCGCTATAAGATCTTTTAAAAAGGAACCATCTTGATATCCAACATTTTCGAAACTCGAGGGCAATCTGGGACGTAGCTGATCTAGTGTCAACCATGAAGATAAAGTTGCTGTGAAAATCTGAACTACTATGAAAATCATACTTAGCCAAATAACAAGCACAATTTTGGAGCACCTATTAAGTATCTTTCCTGCACAAAAATGAAATAGAAAATAATGAAGAAATATGGAACAATGGGAGTAATTATTAGAGGTATTAAAATTTTCTATATATCAAAATAAGTACCTTCATGGAAAAAGAATGTCGAAATCGGAAACCAGATGACCATTATTAGTTTCTGATAGAATGGGGATGTGAATTTTGGGTTGCTAACACGGTATTCCAGAATTGCAAYTGCAAGTCCAATAAAAATACACGCACCAAGTAGTGTGATCCATAATCTCTTGGTAAARGGTCTTACAAAAGTCCACAGGGTTTGGTTCCATTCATGTGTAGCATGCACAAGCATATAAACTTCAGAGCTCAGATAGGGGATCGTAAAATCAACGTACTGAGCTCGAGCACCACGCACGGTAACATCTCCTGCCACAGCGTKACAAGTCTGCAATAYAGAGAATTATGAAATATTCGASCTTATAGGAATACACAAGCTCGTAACTCACACTAAGGCCTTTAGGTTGTACTAGCATAAGTCCTAACACTTGATCAGCAAGCCCGTCCAAACTCCAAAAAGTATATACCATATCTCTACTTAATCAAGATCCATGTTAAGTTTCCAATGTTCTCTAAGCTTCATTATTCATCGCTATCCATCCTCTATCAACTGTCAATTTCTTGTTTCTTGGTCCTTCCATGGAGGCATTAATATACTAGATGTGTTTTCAAATGAATAGAGGTTGGCATCTAGTTAATTGGTGTTTTATATCTTCCACATGGTCCTGTTTTATTTTAATCACACAATAAGATATGAATCGACTACACAAACAGACACGCATATATATATATATATATACACACACACAATAGTATACCTTGCCCTCAATGTGGTGTAGAAGTTGATCATAGGTGCCACTTTCCCCTTTATCATTGATGAAAGTTTTGAAGATAGGCTTGATGTTGAAAGGTAATAATTGTAATGCATGACAGAATACGGCTACGGAGAATCCACCTTCCACTTTTAATTGTTYGTTGACTTTAACAAACTCGGTGAAGCCGGTTTTCTTTGGCACCCACACAACTAATGTTGGGCATGGACCTTTTCCTTGCTTCTTAATCTTCCATTYTGGCCCTATGATGTCTTTATAGATATAACAGCAAATCACACACCAAAACTGTCCAAAATCAGTATTATTTGTGAAATAGAAATAGAAGTTATGACTGTCTAAACAAGTATTAGTTATACTATTATGTTGGAATCACATCAGTAAGTTTGTTACATCAGTCATGACATCCACTTATTTGGCTTCATATGTTGACTTGCTGTGGAGGTTGATGATGGTTACTGGATATATATATATTCTAATGGGACTTCAACACGTGATAGAGACGCGACCATTGAAGTTGACTTGGTATATATTCATGGTCAATTAAGAATCTTTATTTAATCTGTTATGTATGTATGCAAAGGAGGCATAAACATTTTTAAATAAGAGATACCTTATTTTGATTTTGGTATTTTAATATTTTGGCTGATGTGAATCACAAATAAATTACAGGAACTGAATTTGAAAAAAAATGAAGATTTTAGCAAATGGTAACATTAATTACTAAAATTGGTGTTTTGTGCCTATTAATTTTGGGTTGACCTCTAAACTTCACAAATGATAAAAAGTGCTTAATTATAACAAATAAGCCTACAATAAAGGTGCTTAACTGGTTTACAATATTGTTCATAACTTATCATTGTTTATGTTCTCCAAGAAGTCGCTTTTGACGAACTCCCGAGTTTTAAGACATTTATGATTTTTATATAACTCTCGAGGACACGATCTTCAGCTCCTCCATCATCTGTTTGTTCTCAAGACTAACATACTCCTCTTTGCTTCATCCCTTTCATCTGTCATTTTCTTCTTCATCTTGAAACACAAACCGAAGCTGAAATAAATTAGAAAAAGAAAACCTAACAAGATTAATCATTCACCAAACACCTTAGATGCCTCTTCCGTGTCGATCTCTAGATATCGAATAAAACCCTTTCAAAGTGGAATGCATGCACGAAGTGGTTAGAATTTAATCCAAACTCTCAGAACATCAAACATCAATTGATTTTCCAAATTCCAGCACAACTTTTCAGATCTACTTGATGTAAATGCTGAAACATGTATACCATTGAATTCCATATTAAAGGAAGAGTTTGTGGTTAATGATTCTACTATAAGTCGGCCAATATAGATTCAGTCGATAAACCAAAAGAAGCATCGGCACTTACAAGATTAGAACCCAAAAAAAGTGTTGGTTTCAAGACCTTGAGTAAACATCCAAGCATGAGGCTGTTTCAAAAGTGACTGCGAGATTGCGATTTGCGAGCCTATTTCGAAAGAGATTGGCATTGGTTCACAATCAACTATTTAGTTTGGTTCAAAATAAGGAACTTGATTTTGGCTTCACAAGATTTATGGTTTCGAAAGTACTATTGTTCCTTTCAAGATTGAGTTGAAGATTAGGATTATGGGGAAGAAGATAAATATGTGATGACGAAGGTGACTTCATATTCGATTGATAAATGAGACATTAAAGAAATTTTAAAAATTATATGAGACGTACCGGGAGTAAAACAGTCGTTTTATCCATTTTTACACGGGAACAAATGAAGTGGAGGGCATAACTAGGCTCGAATCCAGCTTATCATGTCGCTCATACGTTTTTGGTTAAAACAAAGTTTATATGCCTGTTTAAGTTAACACAAGCAAGGCGGTCCGGGGGAAGGGCGGGTCGAGCACACCCAGGGCCCACAACAAATAGGGACCTCAATTTCTTTTTAGTTATAACAGTAATTAAAAAAATTAGTAAATAAAAGAGACAATTTTTTTAGTATTTAACAAGACTCAAAAAAGAATTTAGGAGTTGTTTGGCAATTGCTGAATGGTTTGGTGCAAAATGATTAAAAGTAGTCAGAATGATTAAAAGGCTTTCATGATATGGTGCAAAATGAAATATAATTGTTTGATAATTGTGCACAATGAAATTAGGGCTGTTAATAGTTAAGGGAGATCCAGAATACAAAATCATTCAGAAGATTTTAGAACCATTAAGAGGTAGACTTTTTTTTGCCAAACAAGATTCACCTCTTAAAGATTTAGAGGTTGCCTCTTAATGGAACTATTAAGAGGTAAACAAACAACTCCTTAGTATTATACTAATAGGCTCATACTTATATTAATTAATTATATTAGATAAGAAAATATGTAAAATAATTAATTAGTCATTCGTTTTATAGTATTGCTTATTATTTCTCTAAGTTTTTTTATTCTGTATTAAAATTCTAAAACTGTTTACCTTGAAAACCTTGATATATTTTCTACACCATTCATCTCCCGTTTGACTCCTTTCTTATTATTGTATCCGCATTAATTCTGTTTTCGTATTAGAATATTATAGATTTCTTGTTATTAATCAAGAAAAACTCCTACCTTTTGAAAATGATTGTCAATCATATGAGACAATCCAACATATATCTATATTTAGGATTTCAAAACTAGTCATCTTTTCATACATTATTAACTCGTTATTTTCTTCTATTGAGTGCATGAATCTTAAGTGCTCTTTTATCTTTAAATAAGAATAAGATCTCATTCTATAACCAACATAGGCTTTTGATTCTAAGATTGATGGTTCCGAAAAAGTTTTTTTTTTATTAACCTGGATATTCAACCCGCTATGCGAGTCGACTAACCCAGGACGACCACCTGCTTTGCAGGTAGCCTGGAGTCACCGCATTTGAACCTCCATGGCCACAAGGAGATTTTATTTCCTCCTTGGATTTGAATCTGAGACCTCCTGGTACTTTTGACCTTTGGAGCCAAACTCAAACCAATCAGACACCACCCTTGTGGTTAGTTTCGAAAAAGTTTGTTTTAACCCTAAAAATTTTAAATGATGATGAAAAACATTAACATGAGATGAGATGGAGACCAACTGATTTATATGATTTACATAGAGTGTTACTTTGAGTAGTCAACATTAATTGTGACCCTAAATGATATTGTCAATCTATATATTAAAGGTAAAAATGTTATGTAAAAATGATATGGTAGATGATATTAATTTAAAAATAATTATTGATTGATTTTACGTCTACAAATACCACGAAAAATGGTAGAATTATTATTATTTCTTGAATTTGACGTTATTTCAAATGATAAAAACAATACATTAAAGATTTTTGCATACATATCGATGACCCTTTTTACATCTCGTAGGAAGTCAACGGGGCTACACAAATTTATAGAATTCCAAAAAATGGGTAATAAGGAATTATTAAACTAAAACTATATGCAACACTTCACATTCACGTTTCAGAGATATACCTTCATTAGAGTCATTTCTCATAGGAATTAATTAACAACCAAAATCTAGTTTGGCATCTCCACTAGGCATCACACTAGCTATATGTATCCATGGACGGCCCCAACTATGTGGTATAGGTGGCACGTCTCACCGTATTATTTATTTGTCGAAGGGTAAAAAATTAGGTTTCGTGAACGGTGCAACCGTATTAATTTATTGTGTGTCCCGTATGCATTTTGAAACTACAATGAGAACAAGTTTGTTGTGTGTCCCGTATGTGTGTCCCGTATGCATTTCGAATCCTGTTAGTGTCATTTTCTTAGTCAAATGGTATCACCGTTTAAAAAAAATTTGTATATTTGTTTCTTATAGTCAAACGGTGGCACCCTTTGAAAAATTTTCCCTATATTTTTTAATGGTCAAAATGGTGCCACCATTTAAAAAAAATTCTGGGTCCGTTTCTGTATATATCATCGATCCCATCAATCTATTTATAGACTTGTTGATCCATCTGACTTAATTATATCCAAGAGAAATGTTGTTTAAACTTAAGCTATGTGGTGTTGCCCAATAATTTTGAAAACTTCTTTTATCACAGTAATATTTGCAGAATCATAACAACATACCTGCACATACATCAACCTGCCCAGTATCACCTTGCTCCTGGATAGATCTTCTCTTTCGACTGGATGCATCTTTGATGGCCGTACTCGTCATGGTTTTCGTAGAGCGTAGTTTGGTATACTTTTCCTCAGTTAMACCTTTTTCYGMTGTTACTAAAATAGACGCTTGCACAAAATCAACCATGAAACAAACACAGAGCATGGCAACCAAGAACACCAAGGAAACAATGTGGTTTTGGTGCTCCATTATTGCCTATCTGCATCAGGCAGAATCATCTGTTAGTTTATATAGAGACTGGGTGGTTGCTTGAAAATTTTGTTGACTTGTTCTTGAAATATAGAATCAATACAAGTTTAGAGAGAAGAAAGAGTGATTTGTCGATACATGGCTCTTTCCAAGAAGATTCCGTACTTGTTATTAATAATTTATATCCTTATTTCTTTTGATTTATCTAACTTTTTTCTCTTCTTACAAGCCATCTCATTTCAGCAAGAAGGCATCGGCCAGTTCAAATGTTGAAGAAATAGACTGATTGTTGACTTTGAATTTTGAAAATCAATATGTTTTATGTTACCACAGGTGCATTAACGTATGGGTTGGTGTTAAAAGCTTGTCCCCTTGATATGTTTTTTTTCCGACAATGATTGTATGAGCTTAATGGAACGCACAACTTACGAAGACAGTTATATATGACCATTTGGTAGTGGTTTAATTGAGGATATAGAAACTAGCTTATTCATTAAGCTTCTAAGGGGAGCTTATCCACGGGTATTCGCAGAATCAACGTGGTAATCTTTGTTTTCATTCTATTATTTGCCTCACAAACCTTCTCCTAATTGAAAAACAAGTTCATTGCATCTATGAAAACACCCTTCCAAACAAAAATCTTTCCAAGCTACAAAGACAGAGTAATCCACAAAGACAATTTTATCCATACAAGATGGACAAATTCTTGACGTCCTGGTAACTCAAGTAAAAATAATCATGAAATTATCAATCAAATATGAGCAAGGCTCAGTTAATTAGCAGAGTTTTTCTGGGATTTCGAAGTGAAAGGAACAAGTTAGCTCATTTCATATTTCGAACAGACTCATACGACAGCTTATTCTCCCAAAGAAAAAAATACCGATCGCTGATAGGGTTGGGCAGATTCCAAGAAACTGCAGAGTGCCTTGCCAATTAAGGCAATCCGAGATAGCAACGTGTATGTCGATATCTCATCTTTTAATAGTCCAAACATTAAAGATTCATTTTCATATTTTCCAACTGTTTATAGTCTTATATATTGATTAGATTACTTAAATTGCATCGAAGTTCTCTAGATTCCAATAAATCCTCTGACTAGTTCTTAACTTGCAACTAAATTAGTGCAGTGAATGGGACACTTTGGACTAATTCAGACCTTAAAAACCACTGATTAATAAATGGAGGGATACTGATTGCCGACTTTGGGAAGATAATCACTCAACAAAAATTGAACTCATAGGTTATTACTTAAGATCTATTTATGTATGAATTGTATATTTTATCTGAATTTCACAGAAGTTGCCATATCATCTGTCAATAATCTTTTATAAAGCATGAAGAAATTCTTGACTGCTAGAATCTGTAGATATTTTTAAGGTTAGTTTAATTGATTTATAAGGTTGACTAAGCTATATGGCTCCCTCAAGACTTCCCAAAACTTTTGAACAATTTTTTTTCTCAAGTACAAATTTACCGACAGCCCTAGCTGGGCCCACATGGAACCTGGGATTGAGCCCGCGTGTTCTGTATTTGTATTTGGACAAAGTCACCATACCCTTTTACCAACCGAACTATATGAGTTATTCATATGCCAAATGTTGTCTTAGACAACAAATGTAAATTGCTTATGTTGCTTAAGATACGCTAAGACAACAAATGTTATTATATATTGACTAAGTTTCCTCTAATGCAACATATGTTTCTATGTTGCCTAAGTGTGACCTTAGGCAACATATAAATAATTCTATGTTGCGTGCATATATCTTAGGCAACATACTAGCCTATGTTGCCTTAGTTCAATGTTGGACACTCATATTTTTCTTTGAAATCCGTCAAAGTTTACTTAGTCAACATATATTCTTATACTATGTTGCCTAAGGTAAAAACATAAATCCAACAAAGTTTACTTGAGCAACATATAGTCCTATTTTTATGTTGCCTAAGGTAAAAATTATAAATTCAACCCAATTTACTTAGGCAACATATATTATTGTTTCTATGTTGCCTTAGGTAAATATTATAAATTCAACCCAATTTATTTATAAACAAGATGATACTTCCGAGGTGACAACTGGTAATGTACGAAAAGATTTATCATAATTTACTTAGGCAACATATATTCTTGTTTCTATATTGCCTAAGGTAAAAATTATAAATTCAACCCAATTTACTTATGCAACATATATTCTTGTTTCTATGTTGGCTAAGGTAAAAATTATAAATTCAACTCAAATTACTTATAAACAAGTTGATGCTTCCAAGATGACAACTGGCAGTGTACGAAAAGATTTATCATAATTTACTKWGRCAACATATATTCTTGTTTCTATGTTGCCTAAAGTAAAAATTATAAATTCAACATAATTTACTTAGGCAACATATATTCTTGTTTCTATGTTGCCTAAGGTAAATAAATTGATGCTACCAAGGTGACAACTGACATTGTACAAAAGATTTATCATAATTTACGATGTTAGTAACAAAGTACCGATGAAGACTGTTCGTTACTTTCCTCTGACATCAAGGTTGCAACGTTTGTAGATGTCAAAATATATTGCAGATCATATGAGATGGCATGGTCAAAGGGAAACGTCTCCGTATGATGATCATATGAGATGGCATGGCCAATTACACGGTGAAGCCTCAATTTCGCCTTGAGGTGCTTGATCAAATTGTCGCGGTTCAGTATCCCAGTGGTTATGCTGGAAGCTTAAAGAACAAGGTAAACATAAATGACAAGAAGTTTTATGGTTTGAAGACTCATGACTGCCACGTATTGCTTCAGCGCATTCTTCCCGTGGTCATACGACCGTACGTGGCCAATCATGTCGCTGATGCAATTTGCGACTTATCTAGATTCTTTCAGATGTTGTGTGCTCGAGAGTTGAAGAAGTCAGATGTTGAACAAATCATTGTGTATCAACAATGTAACGTGAACGGTGTTAGATTCGTATGTGAACAACAAGATGAGAGTCGTAAAACACAAAATAGTGGGGTGATGATAGTGGCAGACGACGTGTCATACTATGGGGTTCTACTACAAGTTGTAGAGCTAATTTATCCATAAGCAATGTCGGTCGTGTTGTTTAAGTGTAGGTGGTATGACGAAGAAAATACAAAGTTAGATCGTGGTCAAATTTCGATTGATACAAAGACCGATTGCTACAAAGACAGCCAATTTTGTCTCGCCTTACATGCAAAACAAGTATTCTACGTCGATGATCCAATGTTTGGTAACGGTTGGAAAGTTGTTCATCACATGTTTCATAGAGGTACATACAAGGCGATTACACTTGCACGAAACACAAATGTAGGTCAACATTATGACGTAGAGAAACAGTACCAAGAGCCCGTGACTACCACCATTCCCATAAGTGAGATTTTTATCGACATTGGTCCTATACCACGTATTGATATACCAAATGATGACGATGAGAACGATGAAGATTACAACGAGGAAGAGGACAATGAGTATTACAGTGATGACGAGGAAGAGGACGAGAATGATGTGCTTGGAATCAACGATGATACAGATTCAGATAATGATGTTAACGAGTTTCATAACATTGGTGATGAATATCGTCATGACCCAGATTATTGATTAAATATTAGTGTTTGTGATGTAATGAATTAAAGAAATTGATTAAATTCGTTTACCGTCTAAAGCCGTTTATTTTTGTCTCGGGTTCGTGTCATGTCAAGAATTGTCACCCCTATTTGTAAATATTAGAAGAGTACCTGCGCAATGCAACGATACACATCTCGATTTTAATGTTCTATTTATCAAATATTTTATAATATAATATAGATTATGTGTTTTTAAGAAAACAATAATGATTTTATTTTTTAATAAAATATAAATTTAAAGATACCATAAAAAATGGTTTTTAATAGTTTTTGTTGCTTTATAATATAATATAAATTTTTGTTAAAACAGAATTTTTAAAACCCTTTTTTTCCCCAAAACCATTTCCCCCTCGAATTTAAATTTCCCTCTTCTTTTTCCCCAAAAACCCACCAAAACCCTTACCCCCCCCCCCCAAAAAAAAACCCTTACCAGATTTCTTTCTCAAATTCAATTTCTCACTACCTCTCTCTATCGATATCTCTTCTCCAGGTTCTTGTCACTGCCTCTCTCCATCAAACTCGATTTGTCACTGCCTCTCTCCATCGATTCTTCTCTCCTGCTTGATCAAGAACTAGGTATGGTTTGGTTATTGTTTGGTTCTTTATCGATTTGGTTATTGTTTGGTTCTTTATCGATTTCTCTCTATCTTACGAATGGGTTTTATTGCTTCAATGTTTTATAAAAACAAGTGGTTTAGTCATGTAACTTCCCTAAAATCAGGGAGTATCGGTTCCATTACTCCATAACACGGTAGCATTCTGCATTCTGTTTCCGTTATGTTTTCAATGGAGTTTAAGTGGAGCAGCAAGCTGTCAAAATATATAAACAAGGATGGATGCTTTTTAAATGCATATATAAACAAGCTGTTTGGTATTGTGAGAATAGGAATCTTGGATGCTTTTTAAATGCATATTATAAACAAGCTGTCAAATGGGGAGTAGTCAAGTAAGAATAATTGTAGTTGGTAGATGCTGTTTTCTAGATTTTATATAAATAGATAAATGCATAATTAATATATAGCAAATGGGGAGTAGTTGGTAGATGCCTATTTTCTAGATTTTATGTAGTTGGGTTCCATTACTCCATAATACGGTAGTTATATTTTGCTGTAGTATATCACTGCTTGCTGTTTTTAATGATGTTCCATACCACTGCTTGCTGTAGTTATATCTTCTTTCCAGCAGCTGTAAAGGTGTATTTAATACATACTAAAGCTACATACAACAATGCTTCTTTTTTCTGTTTTCTTAGCATTCTATGTAGTGTCTTTTTGTAGATCCATATGCCTCCAAAAAGAACTCAAGCGTTTAATTTAGCGAAGGCGTCGGTCTTGGGAGCATTGTTCATGAACATATTCCAATGTTAACTGATA